ACTCAGGGACACAGAATTGTTACTTAGGGACAGACACAGAATGTTACTGAGGGACACAGAATTGTTACTGAGGGACACAGAATTGTTACTGAGGGACACAGAATTGTTACTCAGGGTTACTGAGGGACACAGAATTGTTACTCAGGGACAGACACAGAAATGTTACTGAGGGACACAGAATTGTTACTGAGGGCCACAGAATTGTTACTTAGGGCCACAGAAATTGTTACTCTTAGGGCCACAGAATTGTTACTCAGGGACAGACACAGATTGTTACTCAGGGACAGACACAGAATTGTTACTGAGGGACACAGAATTGTTACTGAGGGACACAGAATTGTTACTGAGGGCCACAGAACTGTTACTTAGGGCCACAGAAAACGTTACTACTAGGGACACAGAATTGTTACTCAGGGACAGACACAGAATTTGTTACTCAGGGACAGACACAGAATTGTTACTCAGGGACACAGGTTACAGGGACACAGAATTGTTACTGAGACACAGAATTGTTACTGAGGGACACACAGAATTGTTACTGAGGGCCACAGAAGAAACGTTACTTAGGGACACAGAATTGTTACTTAGGGCCACAGAAACGTTACTTAGGGCCACAGAATTGTTACTCTTAGGGCCACAGAATTGTTACTTAGGGACACAGAATTGTTACTTAGGGACACAGAATTGTTACTCAGGGGACACAGAATTGTTACTCAGGGACACAGAATTGTTACTGAGGGACAGAATTGTTACTCAGGGGGACACAGAATTGTTACTCAGGGGGACTGAGGGACACAGAATTGTTACTGAGGGACACAGAATTGTTACTGAGGGACACAGAATTGTTACTCAGAGGGACACAGAATTGTTACTGAGGGACACAGAATTGTTACTGGGGCCACAGAACTGTTACTTAGGGCCACAGAAACGTTACTCAGGGGGACACAGAATTGTTACTCAGGGACAGACACAGAATTGTTACTCAGGGACACAGAATCGTTGAATTAAAGAGTATGTCAGACAACATGCAGAGGAGTGGCAGAGGAGGCAATGTTTTAGGAGCGAGCAGACGTGGCAGCAGAGGAAGGGGTCAGAGGCCATGTGACAGCATTATTCGCAGCCAGAGGCCAGTGCTCCACGGTGTCATCCAGTACAGTGAGGAAGAGCTAACAGGCAGAATTGGTCAGGAACAGGGGGGGAGACATCAGCCTCTTCAGCAGCCACGAAGAATTGTAGTGGCGACACAGAGTGGCTCGGTAGCCGGTCTAGAGACAGGTCTGTCTCCTGACCCACACGCAGCCGAGGGGGCTAGTAGTGAGGCGGAGACCCTAATTGATGATGATGAGGCTGACGCACTTGGCAGCCTCAGGGTCGTCATCAGGCTATTGCTTCCGCATCATCAGGAGAAGAGGGTGGCAGCTTGGCAGCGAGCAAAACAGTCGGTGGGGTTGTCTCCATCGCCACACTCTGCCATGTGCCACTTTCAGGTCTCCTCACACACTGCTGGTGTGTTCCATTTTTTGTCATAGGGTGCTGGCAGATTACGGGCCTCCCATAGCTGCTGCCAGGCCCCTAATCTGCCATGGGCCCCTATACCGCCTCCTCATGCTGCATGCGAGGTCCAGAGTCTCTCATGGGGTCCTGTGTACGGCCTCCCATTGCTGCTGTCCATCGCCACACTCTGCCATGTGCCACTTTCAGGTCTCCTCTCACACACTGCTGGTGTGTTCAATTTTTTGACATAGGGTGCTGGCAGATTACGGGCCTCCCATAGCTGCTGCCAGGCCCCTAATCTGCCATGGGCCCCCCTATACCGCCTCCTCATCATGCTGCTGCCAAGTCCAGAGTCTCTCATGGGTCCCTGTACGGCCTCCCATTGCTGCTGTCTCCATCGCCACACTCTGCCATGTGCCACTTTCAGGTCTCCTCACACACTGCTGGTGTGTTCCATTTTTTGTCATAGGGGTGCTGGCAGATTACGGGCCTCCCATAGCTGCTGCCAGGCCCCTAATCTGCCATGGGCCCCTGTACCGCCCTCCCTCTGCTGCTGGTGGTCCAGTGTCTCATGGGTCCCTGTACGGGCCTCCCATTGCTGCTGTCTCCATCGCCACACTCTGCCATGTGCCACTTTCAGGTCTCCTCACACTGCTGGTGTGTTCCATTTTTTGTCATAGGGTGCTGGCAGATTACGGGCCTCCCATAGCTGCTGCCAGGCCCCTAATCTGCCATGGGCCCCTGTACCGCCTCCTCATGCTGCTGCTGCCAGAGTGCCATGGGTCCTGTACGGCCTCCCATTGTCTCATGCCACACTCTGCCATGTGCCACTTTCAGGTCTCCTCACACACTGCTGGTGTGTTCCATTTTTTGACATAGGGTGCTGGCAGATTACGGGCCTCCCATAGCTGCTGCCAGGCCCCTAATCTGCCATAGGGGGCCCCTATACCGCCTCCTCATGCTGCTGCTGCCCAGTCCAGAGTCTCTCATGGGTCCCCTGTACGGCCTCCCATTGCTGCTGTCTCCATCGCCACACTCTGCCATGTGCCACTTTCAGGTCTCCTCACACACTGCTGGTGTGTTCAATTTTTTTGACATAGGGTGCTGGCAGATTACGGGCCTCCCATAGCTGCTGCCAGGCCCCTAATCTGCCATGGGCCCCTATACCGCCTCATCATGCTGCTGCCAAGTCCAGAGTCTCTCATGGGTCCCTGTACGGCCTCCCATTGCTGCTGTCTCCATCGCCACACTCTGCCATGTGCCACTTTCAGGTCTCCTCACACACTGCTGGTGTGTTCCATTTTTTTGTCATAGGGTGCTGGCAGATTACGGGCCTCCCATAGCTGCTGCCAGGCCCCTAATCTGCCATGGGCCCCTATACCGCCTCCTCATGCTGCTGCCAGGTCCAGAGTGTCTCATGGGTCCCTGTACGGGCCTCCATTGCTGCTGTCTCCATCGCCACACTCTGCCATGTGCCACTTTCAGGTCTCCTCACACACTGCTGGTGTGTTCCATTTTTTTGTCATAGGGTGCTGGCAGATTACGGGCCTCCCATAGCTGCTGCTGCCAGGCCCCTAATCTGCCATGGGCCCCTGTACCGCCTCCTCATGCTGCTGCCAGGTCCACAGTGTCTCATGGGTCCCTGCCATGTGCCACTTTCAGGTCTCCTCCACACACTGCTGGTGTGTTCAATTTTTGTGACATAGGGTGCTGGCAGATTACGGGCCTCCCATAGCTGCTGCCAGGCCCCTAATCTGCCATGGGCCCCTATACCGCCTCCTCATGCTGCTGCCAGGTCCAGAGTCTGTCATGGGTCCCTGTACGGCCTCCCATTGCTGCTGTCTCCATCGCCACACTCTGCCATGTGCCACTTTCAGGTCTCCTCACACTGCTGCTTGGTGTGTTCCAATTTTTTTGACATAGGGTGCTGGCAGATTACGGGCCTCCCATAGCTGCTGCCAGGCCCCTAATCTGCCATGGGCCCCTATACCGCCTCCTCATGCTGCTGCCAAGTCCAGAGTCTCTCATGGGTCCCTGTACGGCCTCCCATTGCTGCTGTCTCCATCGCCACACTCTGCCATGTGCCACTTTCAGGTCTCCTCACACACTGCTGCTGTGTTGGTGTGTGTTCAATTTTTGTCATAGGGTGCTGGCAGATTACGGGCCTCCCATAGCTGCTAGGCCCCTAATCTGCCATGGGCCCCTATACCGCCTCCTCATGCTGCTGCCAGGTCCAGAGTGTGTGTCTCATGGGGCCTCTCATGGGTCCCTGTACCTGTACGGCCTCCCATTGCTGCTGTCTCCATCGCCACACTCTGCCATGTGCCACTTTCAGGTCTCCTCTCACACTGCTGGTGTGTTCCATTTTTTTCATTTTTTGGTGCTGGCAGATTAGGGTCCCTGCTGCTGCCAGGCCCCTAATCTGCCATGGGCCCCCATATAGCTGCTCATGCTGCTGCCAGGCCCCTAAGTCTCCATGGGCCCCCTGTACGGCCTCCTCATTGCTGCTGTCTCCATCGCCACAGTGTCTCTGCCATGTGCCACTTTCAGGTCTCCTCACACACTGCTGGTGTGTTCCATTTTTTGTCATAGGGTGCTGGCAGATTACGGGCCTCCATAGCTGCTGCCAGGCCCCTAATCTGCCATGGGCCCCCTATACCGCCTCCTCCTCATGCTGCTGCCAGGTCCAGAGTCTGTCTCATGGGTCCCTGTACGGCCTCCCATTGCTGCTGGTCCATCGCCACACTCTGCCATGTGCCACTTTCAGGTCTCCTCACACACTGCTGGTGTGTTCCATTTTTTGACATAGGGTGCTGGCAGATTACGGGCCTCCCATAGCTGCTGCCAGGCCCCTAATCTGCCATGGCCCCTATACTGCCCTCCTCATGCTGCTGCCAAGTCCAGCCTCTCTCATGGGCTGCTGCCACGGGCCTCCCATTGCTGCTGTCTCCATCGCCACACTCTGCCATGTGCCACTTTCAGGTCTCCTCACACACTGCTGGTGTGTTCAATTTTTTGACATAGGGTGCTGGCAGATTACGGGCCTCCCATAGCTGCTGCCAGGCCCCTAATCTGCCATGGGCCCCCTATACCGCCTCCTCATGCTGCTGCCAAGTCCAGAGTCTCTCATGGGTCCCTGTACGGCCTCCCATTGCTGCTGTCTCCATCGCCACACTCTGCCATGTGCCACTTTCAGGTCTCCTCACACACTGCTGGTGTGTTCAATTTTTTGACATAGGGTGCTGGCAGATTACGGGCCTCCCATAGCTGCTGCTGCCAGGCCCCTAATCTGCCATGGGCCCCTATACCGCCTCCTCATGCTGCTGCCAGGTCCAGAGTCTCTCATGGGTCCCTGTACGGCCTCCCATTGCTGCTGTCTCCATCGCCACACTCTGCCATGTGCCACTTTCAGGTCTCTCTCACACTGCTGGTGTGTTCCATTTTTTGACATAGGGTGCTGGCAGATTACGGGCCTCCCATAGCTGCTGCCAGGCCCCTAATCTGCCATGGGCCCCTGTACCGCCTCCTCATGCTGCTGCCAGGTCCAGAGTCTGTCTCATGGGTCCCTGTACGGCCTCCCATTGCTGCTGTCTCCATCGCCACACTCTGCCATGTGCCACTTTCAGGTCTCCTCACACTGCTGGTGTGTTCATTTTTTGTCATAGGGTGCTGGCAGATTACGGGCCTCCATAGCTGCTGCCAGGCCCCTAATCTGCCATGGGCCCCTGTACCGCCTCCTCATGCTGCTGCCAGAGGTCCTCATGGGTCCCTGTACGGCCTCCCATTGCTGCCACTCTGCCATGTGCCACTTTCAGGTCTCCTCACACTGCTGGTGTGTTCAATTTTTTGTCATAGGGTGCTGGCAGATTACGGGCCTCCCATAGCTGCTGCCAGGCCCCTAATCTGCCATGGGCCCCTATACCGCCTCCTCATGCTGCTGCCAAGTCCAGAGTCTCTCATGGGTCCCTGTACGGCCTCCCATTGCTGCTGTCTCCATCGCCACACTCTGCCATGTGCCACTTTCAGGTCTCCTCACACTGCTGGTGTGTTCAATTTTTTGTCATAGGGTGCTGGCAGATTACGGGCCTCCCATAGCTGCTGCCAGGCCCCTAATCTGCCATGGGCCCCTGTACCGCCTCCTCCTCATGCTGCTGCCAGGTCCACAGTGTCTCATGCCATGTGCCACTTTCAGGTCTCCTCACACACTGCTGGTGTGTTCAATTTTTTGACATAGGGTGCTGGCAGATTACGGGCCTCCCATAGCTGCTGCCAGGCCCCTAATCTGCCATGGGCCCCTATACCGCCTCCTCATGCTGCTGCCAGGTCCAGAGTCTCTCATGGGTCCCTGTACGGCCTCCCATTGCTGCTGTCTCCATCGCCACACTCTGCCATGTGCCACTTTCAGGTCTCCTCACACACACTGCTGGTGTGTTCAATTTTTTGACATAGGGTGCTGGCAGATTACGGGCCTCCCATAGCTGCTGCCAGGCCCCTAATCTGCCATGGGCCCCTATACCGCCTCCTCTCATGCTGCTGCCAGGTCCAGAGTCTCTCATGGGTCCCTGTACGGCCTCCCATTGCTGCTGTCTCCATCGCCACACTCTGCCATGTGCCACTTTCAGGTCTCCTCACACACACTGCTGGTGTGTTGAATTTTTTGACATAGGGTGCTGGCAGATTACGGGGCCTCCCATTGCTGCTGCCAGGCCCGTAATCTGCCATGGGCCCCCGTACCGACTCCTCATGCTGTGACGTTGCAACAAGGTGGAATTCAACCCTACATATGTTAGACCGCCTTACGAACAGCAAAAGGCCATCACAGATTTCCTGATGTTAAAAGCGGATAAAGGTACTCCCTGTGTAACTTAGATGTCAGCCATTGGCAGCTCATGCGTGACACCTGCGCTTGCTCAGGCCCTTTGAGGAGGCCACGCTATTCGTGAGTCGGCAGGACTATGGGATGAACGACGTCATTCCTCTGTTGCACGTCCTGGAACAAATGCTGTTAACAATGGCTGGTCAGGGTGCGGTAGACGTGGCGCACAGATCTCAACGCCACATGACCCCTGTGGGGGCAGGACAGGAAGAAGAGGAGGAGGTAGAGGAGGACATTGGTGCTCAGGAATTATTGAGTGAAATGGGTGGTTTTTCCACTCAGCGGACAGGAGTGGAGGAGCAGGAGCATCTGGTAGAGGAGGAGGAAGAGGAGACAGAGGACCCAGACGCACCGTGGCAGTATGCTGTGGAGATGGAGGCAGGGAGTCCCTCGCATTCCTTGGCACAAATGTCTGGCCCATAGCATGCTTCGGCTTGCTTGCGTACCGACAGCCGAATAATAACCATCAGACAGAGGGATGACTTTTGGCTGTCCACCTTGTTGGACCCTCGCTACCGTTCAAAAATGGTGGCCTTTTTCACACCTGCTGAGAGGGAGGCCAAAATAACGTACTATAAAAACCACCTATGTAGTCAGCTGGTCTCTGCCTGTCTGCGCCAACGTCCATCCTCAGACACTGTGGGCCCTGTGCGCTCGCGTTCCGCTGCCATGGCAGCAGGGGAGGGGTGGGGTGGTAGGAGCAGTGGCAGCTCCACCAGCAGCAGCTGCCTCAGTCTGCAGTCGATGATGAGTAGCTTTCTTCACCAGCGCAGTGAGGAAACTACTAACCAGCCGCAGCAGCAGCAGCAGCAGCAGCATCAGGTGGACCTGGAGCAGGACCTCAAACAACAGGCTTAGGCCTACTTGGACAGCACCCTGCCAACCGAGGTAGACAATCCCCTTGACTACTGGGCAACGAAACTTGACCTTTGGCCCCAACTAGCTGAATTTGCCCTTGAAAGGCTGTCATGCCCGGCCAGTAGCGTGGCATCGGAGCGCGTGTTTAGTGCGGCAGGAGGTATTGCAACTCCGCGGAGGACACGACTGTCCACCCAAAGTGTGGAGAGACTCACGTTTGTGAAAATGAATCAGGCGTGGATTAGTCTGGATTTCAAACCACCAGTTCCTGACACAACTGACTAAATCCACCATGAATCATGCCCCAAACATGTGCCACTTTCAGGTCTCCTCACACTGCTGGTGTGTGTTCCATTTTTTGTCATAGGGTGCTGGCAGATTACGGGCCTCCCATAGCTGCTGCCAGGCCCCTAATCTGCCATGGGCCCCAGTACCGCCTCCTCATGCTGCTGCCAGGTCCACAGTCTCTCATGGGTCCCTGTACGGCCTCCCATTGCTGCTGTCTCCATCGCCACACTCTGCCATGTGCCACTTTCAGGTCTCCTCACACTGCTGGTGGGTTCCATTTTTTGTCATAGGGTGCTGGCAGATTACGGGCCTCCCATAGCTGCTGCCAGGCCCCTAATCTGCCATGGGCCCCTATACCGCCTCCTCATGCTGCTGCCAGGTCCAGAGTCTCTCATGGGTCTCTGTACGGCCTCCCATTGCTGCTGTCTCCATCGCCACACTCTGCCATGTGCCACTTTCAGGTCTCCTCACACTGCTGGTGGGTTCCATTTTTTGTCATAGGGTGCTGGCAGATTACGGGCCTCCCATAGCTGCTGCCAGGCCCCTAATCTGCCATGGGCCCCCGTACCGACTCCTCATGCTGCTGCCAGGCCCGTAATCTGTCATGGGCCCCTGTTGTCGCTTGTTGGCATATTCCGCTCGTTCAGATGCTCCTTCTCCTGCTACTCCTCTTCACGGATTCCGTCAGCAGTCTTTCTTGGAATCCGTTTCCAAGAGACAACAGTTTGCGAGCACGCACCCGACGGTGCAGAAGCTGAACGTCCTCCTGTCCAAGTTGCTGCTGCCAGGCTCGTAATCTGTCATGCGCCCCTGTACCGCCTCCTCATGCTGCTGCCAGGTCCAGAGTGTGTCATGGGTCCCTGTACGGCCTCCCATTGCTGCTGCCAGGCCCGTAATCTGCCATGGGCCCCCGTACCAACTCCTCATGCTGCTGCCAGGCCCGTAATCTGTCATGGGCCCCTGTACCGCCTCCTCATGCTGCTGCCAGGTCCAGAGTGTGTCATGGGTCCCTGTACGGCCTCCCATTGCTGCTGTCTCCATCGCCACACTCTGCCATGTGCCACTTTCAGGTCTCCTCACACTGCTGGTGGTTTCCATTTTTGTCATAGGGTGCTGTATGGCCTCCCATTGCTGCTGCCTCCACCGCCACACTGTGGCTCCACACTCTGGTTTTGGCCCCGTGACTGCCCAAATGAGTGAAGTGTGCGGTGATTCTAAGATCGACGGCACTCATCTGCATGTCATACTGACTGACAGTATTATTTCTCTTCCCCAGCAGACTCCAAGGGCATTTAAATTAAAGGTACAGTGTTCTGCACTAATATAAAGTCTCTCTGAAGCCTAGAAACACCCTTTTATATAAGTTAAATTCGCAGCGAATATATTCGACTCGAATCAAAATTTTCCACGAATTCGCCGAATCAGTCGAATCGAATTTTTGAATACTTCGCTCATCTCTAATTATTATGTAAACATTCCCAGATCTTTTAGTAAATCAGCAACTAAAGGTGTGTGGTTCAGCAGGGGAATCACGTATTCTGTGAAAATTCTGGTATTCTCGTGAGCTTCTGGTCTGGAGTTTTCCAATAATGTTTTGCTGTTAAACTTTTTAAATGTTTAGGTATTTGGCTGCAGTGGCTATTAAATCTAGTCATGCAGTGTCATTATGTAGATTGTAATATAAAGAGGGGTGTGTATCATTTGAAATGATGGTAATCCTAATACCCTAGTAATGATAATGGTTTATGTACACAGAGGCATTCCCACAATGAGGTGAGAACCTCCTCCCAGGTGGCATAATTGTAGCAGCAGTAACAATAACAAGCTTATTTCATAGAAACTCACAAACCCAAATAGGAAGAACTAGAATATAAGTATCAGTTTTTCTAAAACGACTTTGTGAGTCATTACTGAATACTGAATAAATGTAAGTTGAATTCTATGCAAATATAACCCCCCCCCCCCCAGCCCCCTTAGTGTGCCCTCACATCTGTGTATTGCAGTCGAACACAGAAAATCACACATTTTATAGCTTGTTACCACAATGCTTGGTAATGACAAATTAGTGGTGAATTACAGTGTCATTCACTTTAAATGGCACTGCAATGCACTTTGCAAACACACCCAATGCATGTGCATTAAAGTGTGCCAACCACAATGCACAATTAGGCTACATTCTCACTAGCTTTGTCAGCAGGCGTCAGACATGTTTAACCACCCTAGCGGTCTGATTATGTCCATATTTCTGTGCTCAAAGCGGTACATTTTTTTGCATGGACATATGTATTTTTTTTATTGTAGGCCTGTAATTTTTAGGAATAACTCACTGAAATCTGTCCGAACAAGAGTCTAATAAACATCCCGGGTATGATAAAATTTGAAACACTAAATTATAAATTATAATTTAATAAATAATCATAAAAAATAATAATATAATAATAAATTTAATTCAATAATGTAATCAAACCAAAAACACTGAAATTTGAAATATAGCGCCAAGTTCGCACATCACTGAGCAAATTCGCAAAATCGTTGTCAGTGTCTGATGACGAATTTCCCCACAAATCATCACTCAATTCTGCAAGTAGTTCTAATTTACTATCGCTGTTCTCTAGCTGGTCTAAAACCGATTTTGACCTAAAGGGCCGCTTTTTGGACGCCATGGACATTTCTCAGTTTCCAGGCAGAAAGAACAGTAAAAATGCAGGCAGGGCACAGGACAAAGCACTCGGGACAAAATGTATGTGAAATGGATTGATACAGTAATGTTTTACTATGTGATTTTTTATTTTATTTAGTGAATGTCACTTTTTGTCATTTTCAAATTTCCCGCCAGTTCCGTCCCCATACGTCCCGACGCTCGCAGGGGACGGAACCCAGATGACAGATGCCGGCATCCGCCGGATTACATTGCCGGGGACACTGCAGGAGGGACATCGCGGGAGCGCAGAACAAGGTAAGTGAAGAACAGATGCCAGAGCAGCACCGCATGGTAAGCCCGAGTGTAGCTCGGGGTTATTGCTTTTGGTACTGAAACTTTACCCTGAGCTACACTCGGGAATACCGCCAGGGAGGTTAAAGCTTCTCAAATGCCTATGAAAATTTTGCACACGGCAGCACTATGTGCTGTTCACACTGAAGCGATAGCGTTGTGTCGCGGCAAAACTGGCGCCTCATGTCAAGTCAGGAGGAGTTGAAGCCTCCCATTCAAGTCTATGGTGCTGCTCCTCAAACGCCTGGCAGGCGGTTGCAGTGCGGTTGGGACATGTTTGTGTAGCGTTAATACCATTTAACTTCATTATAGGTGTTTGTGGTGCGGTTTTAACGCTTGGCAAACGCCTATCAAACGCCTCAAAACCACACATAGGGCATTTTGGGAGCGTTTGAGTAGCGTTAAAAACGCTTCCCAAATGCCTGTCTAACGCCTGTCAAACACTATAGGGGCGTTTGGCAAGAGTTAGAAATAAAGTCAAGTATGAACGAGCCCTTAGGAACCATATGTCTGTCCTACTGCAATGCATTAGAAAAAGGCACATTTAAAAGCAAACTGTCATTATAGAGGTGCAGGAGCTGCCATTTCTGACTTGTCCTTAAGTACAACTCTGCAGTTGTCATCCTTTTCATTCTTTCAAGAAATGGTGAGTCACTAGCTTAGGACACTTGATCAGCACAAACGTGTTCCAGCTCCACTAAGCAATGGAACAAAGACAAGGATAACAGCCCCAAAGCAAGCACTTTTAAAATAAGTAAACAAATGGTAACTCCTGTTTTTCAATCCTTTATCAGTAGAATGAGATCACAAAGCACCTGTATAATGGAAGAGGCAAAGGTTTAAATTTAAGTATTTTATTGTGGATACAATGTAAAAAACATAAAAACACATCTCTCATAGGTGTAAAGAAACCCTTTTGATTAGGACTACAAGAAGAAGGGATTACAAGAAGGAAGGATAAGAAGAGATCTTCTTGCAGGTCTCCATAAAAAAGCACTTAAATGTAAAGTTGAGGTTACAATGTACATGCAGGGATTGCTCAGTGACCTCATTATACCAATCCATGATGCAAAGGACTCCCCATGAAGCTCCTTTATGATGATGGCATTCAACCAACTATTTCTATGTTATTATCCAGCACCCCAAGGAACATCTACATTTGACTTCAATTTCTGTCCTGACAGATTGCCTGAAGCATTTTACCTGCAGATTGTGGATAACAAGACCCACATTTGCTAAAAAGTACTGGATAGCCTCAGTAGATATAGACAATGGTTAATCCCCATCAAGCCAGAATGGCAGTGGTCACAGAATAATAAGTGCTTTAGGAGATGTTCATCTGACCCCCTGGTGTTCATTGTCACTTGTACTAGCAGGGCCACTGCAAGGATCCCTGTCCACCTAGGTGAAGATGAGTATTTGCCGCTTCCCCTTCTGCTCTCCATCATAAAACCCATCTCTCTGTGTGCCCGCAGCTGCTGCCAGCAGGAGAGGAGAGAAGGGAAGCAACCAGAGCTGCGGGGGAAGGGGGCACATAGGGGGGCAGACAGCAAGGGGTGGGGGTGATCAGAACAGTGGGGGCACAAATATTTAAAACTGATCCCTGCAGTGCAGCTGGAGGGAGGGAGAGGAGGAGAAGCTGTCAGTGCTGCAGAGAGAGCCAGAAAATGCAGAAAATTGGAGTAAGCAATAAGGCAGTACAGCTGGCCCTCCTGCTCGGCACCTCTGTTGAACTGATGGGACCAAGTACAGGAGGGTCAGCTGTACTGCCTTTTCAGCATCCCTGTACCCCCCATCCTGGGGCCCTAAGGTGGCTGCCTATTCTGGCACCATCTTTCATGGGAGTAGCAGGAAGTTCGATGTGACTGATGATCTGCTTTCTTTAGTTACTGCAGTCTGATTGTCCTGACGTGTAGTATTTCACTGCTGTTGCACAACAGCTTGTTAGTGAATAGAAAATGAGTAGTTGCAGCAAATAACCTTAGCACTGTATTGAAACTACATCAAAGACAGCAACCAAGTCAAATATGAAGCCATAGAGAAAGGGGACCTAAAACACTGCATGAGTTAAACAAATAACTCCACCAATAGAGTAGTTATCAAAGGAACTTCCTGTCATTAATCCATCAGAATCTACCTGTAGTTCACATACTGTGTTTTGTGTAAAGTGTGAACACCTCCCTAGAATGCAGACCTTATTGTTTTAAGGGAAATTATATATATACTGCTCAAAAAAATAAAAGGAACACTTTGAAAACACAGCAGATCTCAATGGGGAAAAATATTATGCTGGATGTAGAACGTAAGGATGCCCCATTGCTTGATGGAAATGAATCAACCTACGGAGGAATGAATTCAAAGACACCACGAAAATTTAAGTGAAAAAATTATACAGCAGGCTAGTTCATTTTGCTGAAATTACATTGCAGCAACTCAAAATGGTACTTTGTATGGCCCCCACCTGCTTGTATGCATGCCTGACAAATGAGACGACGGATGGCGTCCTGGGGTATTTCCTCCCAGATTTGGACCAGGCATCATTGGACAGTCTGAGGTGCAACCTAGCAGTGTTGGATGGACCGAAACATGATATCCCGGATGTGTTCTATTGGATTTAGGTCAGGTGAGCGTTGGGGGCCATTCAATGGTATCAATTCCTTCATCCTCCCGGAACTGCCTGCATACTCTCGCCAGAGGAGGCCGGGCATTTTCATGCACCAGGAGGAACCCAGGACCCACTGCACCAGCATAGGGTCTGACAATAAGTCCAAGGATTTCATCCCGATACCTAATGGAAGTCAGAGTGCCATTGTCTAGCCTGTAGAGGTCTGTGTGTCCCTCCATGGATATGCCTCCCAGACCATCACTGACCCACCACCAAATTTGGAATGATGTTACAGGCAGCAGTACATTCTTCAGGGCTTCTCCAGACCCTTTCACGTCTGTCACATGTGCTCAGGGTGTACCTGCACTCATCTGTGAAAAGCACAGGGTGACAGTGGCTGACCTGTCAATTCTGGTGTTCAGTGGCAAATGCCAATTGAACTCTATGGTGCCGGGCAGTTAGCATAGGGCCCACTAGTGAATGTTGGGCCCTCAGGCCACCCTCATGAAGTCTGTTTCTGATTGTTTGGTCAGAGACATTCACACCAGTGGCCTGCTGGAGGTCATTTTGTAGGGCTCTGGCACTGCTCATCCTGTTCCTCCTTGCACAAAGGAGCAGATACTAGTCCTGCTAATGGGTTAAGGACCTTCTACGGCCCTGTCCAGCTCTCTTAGAGTAACTGCTTGTCTCCTGGAATCTCCTCCATGCTCTTGAGAATGTGCTGGGAGAC